TCTATCAGACAAAAATGCAAAAATGCTTCACCTGATACATCATATAGTTTTCCATGTTCTTGATAGAAATTTAAAATTTGTCGTCGTAAAGTTAAAACGTTTATCAAAAACCTGTCCTGTTGATAGCCAGCGAACTTTGTGGAAGTACGGTAGATCAACACTATTTGAATTCGCTTTATTCAAAGTATTCAAAACTGTATTGCACAATAAACACACAATTTTATTTTTCACGGAAGTAAAGAAATAATCTAACTCCCCCTCTACATTAAATCTACATTAACTCCCCCTCTACATTAAATGTTTTATTTTTTTCTCTTACAATTTGACATGATGGAGGAAAAACAAATATCAAATAGTATCTTTAAAAAAGCGTATACGTACTAAAAATACAATAAAACTGTGTATTAATAAGTCCTTAGAATAAGAAAAACAATAACTTGATTTTCAAAATAGCCGATAGCAATACGAGATGGGACTGTTACGAGCACGCACAAATAGCTACAAGTCACCAACTCTTGCAACATGAAGGGAAAATGCCATGGAGGTAAGAAAGGACCTACTTCCTACCTCCATGGGAAATGCGGAGGGGTGCGGGGTAGTGGAAAAAAAAGTAGGTTCTATCTGTCTCTCGGTTGCTGTAGCAAAAGGATTACTGTATTCCAAGTAGGGTGAGCAATGGCCAAAAATAATCACAAAACAATAGAATTTCTATTATTGGACGTTGGCAAACTGAAAGGTTCACCAGATTGGCAATAATTTTAGACTATAAAGATGACAATAATTTCAGAATATGAAGAACTGCAAGAACTGCCACGCTGAAGCATTCTAATTGATATTGTGCTCAATAGATGGCAGCACGTTATTTAATTCTGTTAATTTTAAAATTGTCGTAATCTATGAAATTAAGTATTAATTATTATAAGTAAAGTTGTAAGAACAATACAAAAAAGACCAATTTTGGTCAAAATTTTTTGCGCAATGTGCTGCAAAATTAAGGAAATGAGAAGGTAAAATGTAGTTAAGTTACCAAAAGCTATATTTTCGGAAATTTTAACACAGTATTAAAAGACTAATCAAATTCAATGAGGTAATATATTAGGCTATATGCGAAATAAAAAGTAAATTATAAAACACAGTAAAATACTAATCGATGGAACAAGTTAAAGACAAAAAATAAAACACAGTAAAATACTAATCGATGGAACAAGTTAAAGGCAAAATATGTATATGTGAATTGTAAATTAAAAATTAAAAAGCGGAAAATGGTAAATTAGCCCAATTCGAGGTCCATTCGGCTTTTCAAGGGAAATTTCTGAATGAACATCGAACTAAGCTAACTCCATTACGCGTTTCGCCGAAACAGACAATGGAAACTTTGCGTTACAAAATTTTTTAAATTAATTAAATAAACTGTCCAAAAAAATAATTAAGTATTAATTAATACAACAGCTTGAGGCCGCACAAAAAACTAACGAAGGCCGCACGTTCCCCAACTGGGCTACAAATAAACACTAATGAATCCGGAAAGAAATCGTTTAGAAACTCTTAGTTCCATATGATGCAAATATGTTTTTTTAATGGCAACCAAGAAAATGAAATTTTAGTTTATGCCCTTGTCAGCATTACCGATATAAGAATTCGTAAAGATTTTAATTTTTCATTGTAGTTTCTGTTTCTAAAATACAAACATTTTAAAATTGAGGAATTCTGATCATAAATCAAGGGTTCGAAAAAAATAGTTCGAAAAATTGTCAACTGCTTGATGTCAAACCTAACAGCAGACCCTTAAAAGGTATGTAATATGTCGTGCATTCAAAACACAGTTAAGATGTTTAAGTACACTATCCTCTATTTAGCGCAGTTTTATAAAAGATTTCACAAATTAGAATAAGTATGAAATATTCATTTAACAAGTTAAAGAGTTTGCTTAGCTCAAGTAGAATACAAATCAAAGTTAGCAGTCTTCACAAACATTTAAATTGAAGTGTTTAAAAAAGAACTTACAAGAGATTTATTTATAAGTTTTAAATATCTTCAGTCTTACCTATTAAACAACAAACCTATTAGGCAATAAAGTATATTCCAAAAAAGAACGTAACATTCTTAAAAGCTTAAGTACAATACAAGTACAAACTATTAAGTAATATAACACTTCTTGCATCAAAAACTGTAGGTAGAATCCTATTTTCCCAATATATATCGTTTGGCTCTCGTTTGTTTTTGACGCTGCCGAGTTTCATTATGCAAAATCACACTAATTTATTCTAACAGTATGCATATTGGTTGGCGAGTTATAGCCTCCGTTATTGTTTAACTATTATTACATAAGATAAGGCATTATTAACACAAAACTTGATTAGCTTCTACTAGTAGGAAACATAATTAAGAACAAATAAAATTGTACCACTTCGCATCGATTTCAGCAAGAGTTGCTGACTGGTATGCTAAAGTTTAAACGGGATTTTAACGACCAGGAGATACTCAGATCTACAATAAGAGCCGGATTTACGTATAAGCTACACAAGCTATAGCTTAGGGCCCCCACTTCCTTGGGGGCCCCCAAAAAATTGAAATATAGTATAAATAGTATTAAAATGTATTATAAGAGACTTATAAAGAGACCCGCATCTCAAATAGCTTAGGGCCTAATCAAGTCTAAATCTGGTTGTGTCTACAATACTTTAAGTCAGACGGAAACCAGTCAACTTTCTTACTCTAACCGAACTCCACCAAACATACAGAGTGGTTTAAAATCTTTTTTTGCAAATGGACAAGGGCACTCCAGGAAGGATATTACTAAGCCACCCTGCTGGTTAAGGTTACATTCTAATTTTAACCTATACCATTTGAGGTAAAATTTGCATAAACCTTTGATCTGTGTGAATATCGTGGCTTGACAAGGCACATAAGAAAGAAATTAAAATAAAACTAGCTGTTAGGTAACGTTTAATTGATAAGTAATAAATATTAAATTTTCCTTATGTTTTTGGACTGGTTTGGTTTATTTGACTGTGACAAAGCACACGACGGCTATCTGTCTAAGAGGAGGAATGTCTTCTTGGAGGACTTTCAAAGACCCTGTGAAAATATCTTAAAGAAATCTATAAATGAAATCAAATATTAAACTCCTTTACAATTCTTAATTTTCTATGAATTAGGGCAAAGGTATACTATAGAATTTTTAAAGTATTTTAGATATAGTTTCTGAGTTTCTATAGAGATATAAGTAGATATTCTATAGAAATTTATGCAGAAATTCTATAAAAAAAAGTGTACAATCTCTTAAAGTTCCGTGTATAGAATCTTATATAATGTGCATACAATCAACTAATGGAATTGTACTGAAAATATCAAATTTTGTTTGTCGAAAATTGGGTCATAATTCTAAAGAATTCTAAACAGCTTTCTTTGCTTTAATTTCTTATAAAAGACTCTACAGAGGTTTCAAATCAACAATTTTTTTGGAATAAAAAAAATTAATTTAATTTTCATTTTTGAATCGATTTTTTAACCTAACTTTTGAAATGATCTGTAATCTATATGGGAAGACGAATAAAAAGTTTAGGAACAGATGGAATTTTTTCCCCTAAATATTCTTTTCATTTTACAAAATATTTAAATAAAAGCAAATACATTTTAAATAATAGTTAAGTTTAATTATTTTCTTATCAGTGGCAGATATACAAAACTAAAACATGAATTTCAGGAAATAAAGTTTAAAATTAAAAGCATAAATTTAATCTTTTAACTAATTTTAAGTTCCGTTATTTGAATGTGTCAAGGCACACAAGGTCTAGTTGCCTAAAACTGACTTTAGGATTTAAATTGATTTTACATCCTGGCAAGATTTAATTTTTGTATTATATAAGCAATACGGAAAAAAAAAAAAAAAAAAAAAAGTGCATAAAATGTTACATACATTACTAAAAACGTTCAGTTAGAAGAAAGTGAGCAAATGTTTTCATTCAAAAACGATTCAACACTTATAAAAAAATGTTTATATTTGTTCTTCTGTATCTCATATAGTACAATAGGAAATGAAAATTTGCTTTGATTAAAACTCTTGAGTTTGAAAAGTAACGTTTCTACAGAATTCTGTTCAGGGAAAACTTTATAAAATTGCTTAAAATTTTTATAGAGAAGCACTTCTGTAGAACAGTGGTATTCAAACTTTATATCTCTGCGACTTTATAAAAGTTCGGAAAAAAATCTCCTAAAAACCCCTAAAAAGCAATTTTGTGACTCCAACCAGAGCGTCGACCATTAGTTTGTAGAGGCATAAGGTATTTTGGAATCGCCGAGAACTAAACCATGGACCTCTGGCATACGCGCCCAGCTTGCAGACCCCCAAACCACGAAGGCATGCCAAAAAGGCGGGAGAAATACCTTATATACTTCCCTCTTTAAAGGGAAACTGAGGATTTAGGGGGACATAATCGTCAAATCTTGGGTGTGGAGAATCATCATCCACCACCCTTTTAGTTCGGGCGACACTTGTAGAGACATTTGGTATTTTGGGAGCAAGAGACATGAAAAATGAGCAACGCCTTCGCCAGGAATCGAACCACGGACCTCTGGAATACGCGCCTAGCGTGCAGACCATCATACCACGAAGGCATGCTAAGAAGGCGGGAGAAATGCTTTATAAGTTATGTATCAGAGTTCAGATTTTTAGGAATTTTATGCATCTAGTAAGATCCTACTATAAATTTTTGCGACCCCCAATGGGATTGCACTCGTAGTTTGAATAGAGTTGCTATAGAGTACCTATACAGCTTTATAGGAATTTAAGAAAGTTTTTTCTTCAGGGTAAAATCTAATGATGTTGATCTAGTGGTGAAGTTTTAAGTTTGACAACGAATTCTGCAGTTTTGTTGTATACGTGGTTCATTGGATTTGCTTTGTAGTAAAAATATGCTTATTAATTCATATTAAAACTTAAATGTTTGCTCATGTATCTTGTATTTTAATCTGTGTTTAAATTTTCAATTTATTTCTAGTGGGTCACAGCCATCCCCATGTCACGCAAGCTGCTGCTGAGCAGATGAGTCTTTTGTGCACCAACAGTCGGTATTTGCATGATAACATGGTCTTGTACGCTCAACGACTTATTTCTACCTTTCCACCAAAACTCAACGTTTGCTTCTTTGTTAATTCAGGGTAAATAGATAATGTCATGTGTATATTTAATAAAAATAACTTCCCAGCATTTCACCTTATTTAGTATCAGAGCAAAGCTGTGTATTTATTTACCATAAAATAGAAAATTATTTCATAGACGTATATTTGAAAAAAAGTATTGAAATGCTTAAAATTTTAGCATTAAATTTGGAGATCTACATAAATAAATTTTAAAAAAAAATCTGAAAGATTTCAGATAAACGATCATCCAAAAGGGTTTGGAGCTCGCAGTCTAGTCGCAGAAGTCTGTTGCAGTCACACCTGCTAACCTTTTTTTTTTTTTTTTTTTTTTTTTACTTTCTTATTACGCATCATTTTCCTCGCACTTACGCCGTATGCAATTCAACAGAGAAATCCCTAACATTTTAAAAGCAGTATGTGTTTAGATTTCCCGATGAAGTGTGAAGTGCTGGCAAACATTTTGCTATTGTTTTCAGTCGTTTATCAGTTTATCATGTAAATGTACAGCTTTCTTAGTAAGAAGGCTTGCAAAACTTTTTTTTAAAATCTTTTTATGATTAACCTTTTGTTTGCTAAATTGTTAATTAAATATCATATTCTTCGCACTTACGCCACATAAAATTCATTTGAACATGAGAATCACAAAATACTTGAAAACAGCATATCTTTAGAATTTCCGATAAACAGTCTCGCGTGCTAGAAATAACAATGTTTCAATCCGTATAGTTTTGCTACTGCTGACTTTCAAATTGTTGAGCTTGTTAAAAATTCATTAAAGTTTTATAAAATATGAAATATAAAATTCGAAATTGAAAATCCGGGCTTCCAGGTGCACATGTTCGGGTGGAGCTTTCAGGTGCACGTTATTCAAAATTGTTTTATGTTTCGGGCTTGCATGTGCACTTTATTCAAAATTGGATGGCCCTAGGTACCGTCATTTCTTTATAGGGCGAGAAACATGCATACATTCATGCAGATTCTTCATTATTTAATTTCTTTAAAAGTGATACAAAGCAATAATATTATGTGGCAACAATTTGAAAAATGATTCGTGCATTTAAAGAGATACGCCGCCAATTCCCGTTTCCAAACTAATAGCACATTAGTACTAACGACCTTTTGCGCTTAAAAATTCGCATCTGTAGCCTATTTAAAGTTAAATTTCAATGGAATACTTTTTTCATTCTAGAAATTTCACTTGGAAGGCAGTTAGCCTTTGCTTTCTTTTATTTCTCTTAAGCTTGCCAAACAAGAGGATGCTTGTTTACAAAATTAAAGTCGTTTACAAAAAGACACGTGGCCAGACACGAGGGAGCTTGTTAACAAACTTGCCTGAGGATTATTTTATAAACTGTCTACCTTTTAATGAGAGAGAAAGTTCAATATGGTTCATTCATTTTACATTAGCAGCCACTTTTATTCTGGTACGTCAGGAACATTTGTTTACAGATTAGAAATTTTTATTTGCATAGGCCCCCGATTCGTCAAGCTTCATGCAACGAAGTTTTGATACATTTTACAAGTGAGAGCGAACTATTAGGAATACATTTGTAGAGTCATTAGGTTATTTTGATGCTGGAGACGTGAAAAATGAGTTCTGCCCTCGTTGGGACTCGAACATCGACTTCTGGAATACGCGCCTAGTGTGTGTTACTGTTACACCACGAAGGCATGCAGAAAGGAGGTAGAACATACCTTATTTATTCCCCCTTTTAAAGGGTGACTGGGGCTAAGGTGACCCAATCGCTAAGTCCCGGTGCTGAAGAGTCATCATCCACCACCTTATAGTTGGAGCGCTACTGTTGAGTCATTAGGTTACTTTGAAGCAGGAGACGTGGAAAATGTGTAATGCTCTCGCCGGGACTCGAACCTGGATTTCTCGAATACGCGCCGAGTGTGCTACATTACATTACGAAGGCATGCAGAAAAAAGGGAGTAAATGCCTTATGTATTGCTGAATCATTCTGGTTACAAATTTTTCTTCTAGATGTATGTAGAAATGTACTTCTGAATGATAAATATTTTCCGCGGATTGTTTTCATTTGATAAAGTTTTGTTAAAACGCACTATCTCGTTTCATTTAGTGGTAAACTCAGGTTCTCAAATTGTCACTTGGGCAAGAATTTGAGTTCCAGAAGACATGGATTTCTATGACCATATCGTTTTTTCAAAATAAAGGCATTTAAATTTTGTTCGGAACCTCTTTTTCTGATACGTCTACTCGAAACGGAACCCTATTTTTTTAGAGGCGAAAGTAGGAGAAGAGAGGCAAGAGATATTTGGACTTCATTCCTTTTAATGTTGTCTGCCAGAACTATAGTGAATTTACCACAAAATTAAGACAGATAGCTGCGTACAGGAAAACAACCAGCGCACTTTTATCAGTCATTAAATCTCAAAAGAATGTAAATAATATTGAAAGGGACCCTGAAATGCCTTGGAAATAAGAAAAGCAAGCGAGAAAAAAATAATGACACAATTATTGTTTTGATTTTTTGCGTCAAGCAGATTGCTTACATAAACACAAATGTATAGAAACCGAACAGAAATTTATAGAAATTCTGCTTAAAAAAAATTAATTCAAAATTAATTTTAAAAATTGTTATGATTAATAAAACTATTTTAGCTTTCATTACATTTTCATGCAGACGTCCGTCATGAAAAATTAAATTATTTTGTTCATTGCACTTATAAGATGGAAGTACTTTTGTTTTTAACGAAGGTTATTAAACTTATTTACAGATCAGAAGCAAATGATATTGCTTTAAGACTGGCACGAGCGCATACCGGTCATGAAGATGTTATTGTTTTGGATGGGTAAGAATCTCTTATTTAAAATCATTATATAACGACGTACCTAGCAAGAGAGACATATTTGACTGAAAAAGGATTAAGTTTCTCATGCTCTTTCTTACAGAAGTAACTTTACATTCAAAGGAAAATTAAAAGTAATGCAAACTTTTCACGCATTTTATTTCTATTGACATGAAAATGTTTTAAGTTGTTAGGTTTTGAAAACATTTCTGTAATAAGAGAAATACAAAACTAGCGAAATGAATTAATTATCCGTAAAACGAATAAAAAATAAAGCGAAATAATACCGTGTTTCTCGGAAGAAACTTTTTGTTTTATAAACTATATGTTTCTCTTTAATATGAAGGAAATGATTAATGATTTAAATTGTGAACAATTTTTTAAATTCTAACAAAATAAATAATGTATGCATCTATCATACTTCAGATAAGAATTCATTTTTAACTTAATTACTAATCACATGAAAGTTTAGAAAAACGCTTATTATAATGTACAAAAGCTCTTAATTAGTTTATTTATGCTATTAACAATTAGCTTCCGTCATATTGTTAAAGTTAATGTTTGTTAAAGTAAAGTTAGTGTTTTTGTATCGAATTTTTTTTATCTAAACCTTCAGCATAAAGCATAAACAGGTGTTGTTATGGTGCTGATTTTTCTACAGAGTTCGTAATTATTCTTCTAAATCAGTACCAAGATATTAAATAAATAATATTTTTTAAATGTTTTTAGAGCGTACCATGGCAATTTGTCTACGTCTACAGATATGAGCCCTATGAAATTTGAAAAGATAAGTGGCGGGAAAAAGGACTATGTGCATGTTGTAAGTACATTCCTAGTTTATTCTATTTGTTGCAAATTTACAATTAGTTTTTTATTATTTCTATTATAACATAAATTTTGGCAGTATAGTATCCTCTTTTATGCTTATTAAGCTAGTCAAATATGTAAACGTTTCAAAACATTGTTAAAGAATTAGGTTTCTTTAACAATAATGCGCAGTTGCAATAGCTGATAGAGTGTTCTTTCTGAAACCATACTCTGTGTACGTTATTTTTATTATTTAATTAGGTATTAAAAATAAGCACAACCGTTAAGATAAATTAGTTTTTTATTTAAAGAGGAGGAAATGGGACATTTAATCACTTATTAAGTAAGTATTTTCGAAAGTGAGTTCGAAGTATTTAAATAATGTAGTAGCATGTTGATCAAGAATAACACAGTGGATCAAAATAGACTCCAAAAACACCCGTCTGTCAAAATCCTCCCTCCCCCCAACAATTAAAAAAAAAAAAAAAAAGGAACTAATGGAGTATTTGATAAAAAAAAAAAAAAACACTGAATTACTGTAAACTTAAAGCTTTAAATTGCTAATAAAACTGGCTGCTAAACTTTCAAAAATGAAAATGATTTTAGCATTCAATCGTGCTAAAATATATTACGATTCTTGATAAGAAATCTGAAATCTTCCGTAGTGCTGCCATCTAGTAGCTAAGAGGAAACCTATTTTCTTCGGTAGCTGATGAAAATTGAATTTTAATATTAATTCAGTTCAATGATTCTTTAACATTAATTTTAAATTAAAATGGTTAGTATATTTCCAGATGTTATTTTTTAATTAAAAAATTATTTTGCGTCTGACACCAAAAATCACCAGGTTTTTATGATTTTTATTTGCCATACAGTTAATATGACAATATTAACTTTCTATTGTTTTATTCTTGTAAACAAAGTATGTATATATATATAATATAATAATTTCTCTAGAAGTTTAAAAAAGGAAAGAACAACAAGATTAATTAAAAAACTTTTTAATGTATATCTCAGAATTTACAGATAAGATGCTTTGGGAACACTTTTAGCTTTAAAATCATATTAGTATAACTATTTATAGCAAATAATAAAACGTATGAAAATCTATTCTTTTGGTAAAACAATTAATTTTTTCACCGTTTGCTTGAATGGTATTGATTTATGACATTTTTTACTAGTAGAAAAATACCAAAGTTTTTAAATACTGGCTTTAATGAAATAGACAAAGTAAAGACGCGTAAATTTTACTGTAATATTTTTCTTTTTCTGTAGGCGTCCCTTCCATGCAGCTACCGAGGTGAATTTACATCTGATGAATACGAAACCGACGTAATTGGTTACAAATATGCTGAAAATGTTCAAAATGTCATTAACAAAGCAGAAGCAAAAGGTCGAAAAATTGCTGCTTTCTTTGCTGAATCAATGGTGAGCTGTGGAGGACAAGTACTTTTACCCAAAGGATATCTTTCCCAAGTATATAAGTAAGTTTATGTTATATGATTCTAATTGTGCATCTTCGCTATTACATGATAAACTTTGCTATTACTTTAATCGTTAATATAAATAAAAGGTGTATTGTTGATGTATTGAGAATACGGCAAAGCACACTAGGGCTATCTGCCTAAGAGGAGGGATGCCTATGGAGGACTTTCTAAGGGAAACTGGCTCATAAACACGTTACACATGGAGAAAACCACAAAAATGCCCATGCAGCTAGCCGTTTAGCAGGATTCGAACCTCGGACCGAACTACCAGTGTGTTCAGCGATTTTACCGCTCGGCCGCTGGTGGGTATAAGTAAAAGGAATTAAAATAATATTTCAATACCACTGTAGAAATAATTTAGAAAAATTAAGTATTGAAATGATAATTTGTCTATCAAAGTAATTTTGTTTTTCATTTTTGAAATTATTGAAGGGTTATCTTATATTCTTTGAATATAATCTTAGCGTTTTAAATATTAAAAAGTTAGATATTCTTTATTTGCTATCTAAGAACTTTCGGGCATTCATCAAATGTAAAAGAAGGGCACAAGAAGAAAATCTTGGTTACTTTAAAAGAAGAAAAGTTAAGGGGTTTAAAGTTAAAAAAAAAAAAAAAAAAAAAAAAAAAAAAAACTTGCTGTCGATGATGACGGGAATGATGTTCGTGGTGACATCTATCGCAGACAAAGGTATAGTTAATGCACATCTGACAAATAATTTTAACTGTTGATACCTAAAACAGGTTTTAAGCTGAACAGTTATGATAAGACTACTAGTTTAAAAGTTAATTCCTAGAAATTCAAGGCACGTGAACTTAAAATCATAATTTGAACTGAGCTCATATATTCAAAATAACCTTTGAAACGAAAGACGGCATTCTATGGCATTGTACTATCAGAGAATAATACAATGTGAAAATTTTCGCCCATATTTGATAACAAAAATATTTTATTATAAATGATGAAACTGTTTATATATTTTCACTGGATTACTTGCACCTCAGACTGGAAGTATATATTTCCCACAAATGAAATAGCAACAATTTCTTTTTTCAAGGTTAAAAAGCATTACTTCCAGAAAACAAAATGAAAATTTCTGCAAAAAGAAATGTTTTCGGTAATTCATTTTAAAGCTAAAAATATTTTTCGATTATTTAAGTTTAGGAAAATTATGTAAATGATTCTCTTAATGTTATTTCTTTCTCGTTGTTATTTAGTTCTGTTCCGTATATATTTGATTGAGTTTCCAGCCACTTAAATATGTCATGAAATAAAAATTGTCTAATAATGTCCTTTTACAAATTCCTGAAAATACGCTATATTTACTGCAATAATTATTTGCTGATTAAATTATGAATGCGTTACGTTATGGTATAAACATAAACAACATGTTTATACCATAACGTAACGACTGAATAAAATTTGACTTCAGAAAGTTGTAGAATAAAAAGAAAAATTTCAGGACTTTTGAATTAATTCACTATTCATATCACTTATATTTGTTTCTTAAATATATATACTTGTATTACCAACAGGTGTGTCCGTGAAGCAGGTGGAGTATGTGTTGCTGATGAAGTTCAGACGGGTTTCGGTAGAGTTGGAAAACATATGTGGGCGTTTCAGCTGCAAGGAGAAGGTAATTATGATAACTATGCTATGTTTCTCCTATGAATGAAAGCGCTAATTGTTTTTTAATTGACATAAGACAGATTTACGTTTGTATATTTCTTCATCCTTTCATGTGACTGAATTAGATATCAAGAAATGTATTTCAGTTTTGTGTGCGCAAGATTTGGTATGTAAAAGCTCTTCAAAGCAAACATCTGCTATCCAAATGTGCATATTTTGAGGACGAAAATATTAAATTAAATTTGAATTATTTTACGGTCAAAGTAACCAATTAATTATAGAAGGAAGAAGAATTCATACAAATAATTAAACACACCGAGTCCTTCTTATAACTCACGATTTCAAGTGATTATCCAAAAATATGATTATCCGATGTTGCTTGATACTACTTCTTAATTGTGTTCTCGTAAGTAATGATCACTTCAGATTGGATTGTCTTAGGAGGGTGGTCGCCATGAGAGATTGCATTGTAGTATAATCATTTTAAAAATATGGTTTTACTGTCTTTATGAAGATGTGTCTATGTGCGCTTGCTTTCTGTGTTCTGACATAGCCACATTATATCGATATATAACGAGTTAACTTAGATCAGGTAAAAGTTGTTCTGTAGAGTGACATTTTTTTGAGTAATATACATTAAATCAAGGCTCTTATGTAGACGTAAGCGACTTAACGCTAGGTCTAGATAAAGAAACATATTTAGGGTGTAAAAGATCACTTTATTAAGAACTCAAATAAGTTGAACAGAAGTCACTCCTGGTACTTATAAATCAACCAGCATTTATGGCATGAACTCTAAAGTAGAATTTTAAATTGAAACTAAATCTAAGTCTCCTTTATCCAAAGGCTACGCAGAGATATTTAAATACACAAGTTGGCTGTTAACTTCCATTGGCGGGGCAGCACTACCGAAACTAATAAAGCAACGCCCAACTTCCATTGGCGGGGGCAGCACTACCGACCCTAATAAAGCAACGCCCTAGACGAAATACCCCCATATGCGGTCAGGTCGTAAATTTACAATCCCTTTTTTCAGGGGGAGAGCTGACAAGGAGGGGACAATCTTGCTCCATATCTTTTGAAAATGTGGGGGTTGTTTAAACATCTAACTTCTCTACATTCAGTTTTATACAGAGGAAAATACAAATTGAATTCTTCGAATGAATGCAATTTTGTACAATGAAAATGTATTACTTAACGATAAACTGTAAGATAAATAACATCTTTTTTTAAAGCCATAGGTGTAGACAGATATTTGTTACAGGAATGAATTTGTAGTAAATATGAGTTTTTTCATTTCGAATGCTATGTTCCATGTATGTGAAGTAACTGAGTATGTGAGATAATAGTCATAACCGAAAGGCCTTTCGACCTTTTCACGTCTAAAAAGAACTGTTTTTCAATTACATTGTGGTCGCTGCTTTTTGGTTAATTTTCTAATGACATATAACCAATAATTGTTTTATTTGAGACTTATGAATAAAATAACGCAAACTAGACTGCAGAAAATTCTTAAGAATGAAGTTAAATAATACTGAAAAATACATTATTGATGCACTTTTGGGTTTTATATGTAGTAGTATTAACTACTACTATAATCCTTAAATGGAATCCTTAAATTATATATATCTATGTATAGGTATATATAAATGGAACCAAATATAGAACAAGGTATAAAATATCTTTGTTATGCAATGTTCATTACCATACCTATATTTACGTAATATCAATATAAATAGTTAGTTAGGTTTCGTACATATATAATTTATTTTTATATTTTGTATTTTTTGTATTAGATTCAGTATTGTATACGTATCTGAAGTTTAATTTTGCTTGTTTTCTTTTTGGGTTACGACTTTAAGTGAGAAAGAATTGTTAGGGCCGTCATAGGGATTACATTATATACAATCAATTAGGATCCGACTTTTCCTTTCTTTTAATCATTATATATATTTAAATACTACTTGATAAGTATACATAAATATAGCAGTTTTTTTAAGCTACTTATTTATATATCTATTGTTTGGTCTTGTTTGTTTGATTATAGTAAAGCATTCGACGGTTATTTGCCTAAGGGTAAGGGTGCCTCGTGGAGAACTTTCGAAGCAAAATTGACTCTTATGCACGTTACACGTGGGGAAAACCTCGAAAGCGCCAATACAGCCATCCCCGTCGATCCGGATTCGAACCCCGGATCGACCTGCCAGAGTTCAACGACTTTACAGCTCAGCCGCTAGTGAGCCACACACACACACACACACACACACACACACACATCCACACATATACATTAAATAGTATTTACATGTCGTTTATAAAGTATAATTGAGTGCAATTTAATCATAAAGAGTTAGAAAAATATTCTACGGAATTACTTCACTTTGTAGACTTTTGTTAAGCTTCACCATATTTCTTAAAGAGAATCTCAATGCTAGTTCCATTTCCAAGCTGTTTATGTACCTTATTTTTCATGCTTTGAATTATATTTAGAAAATTATTTCACTTGGTTATAGCTGAAAATGCAGAAGAGAATTATGCCCTTTTCTAATCATTCTTGAAGCATTTAAATTTTTTTAAAAAAAAAGCGCACATTAATACGAATCACTGAACTAAAGTGCTCGATACAAGACATATTAACTAGCTACTAAATTTTGATTTTCATTGAGTAAAAATGAATTCATCTGCATTCTATAAGAGCGTAAATATTCAAAAAATGTTTTTTTTTTCCCTATTCTCGCAGTCATAATATTTTTCTTAAATATTCAGCTAATTCATATTCAGATATTCCAATCCATTACAATTAGTAATAAATCGATACAGTAAATAAATAATTAAAATCAATTAAATGGAATTTTAATTGATTTTAATTGCCATTTTCCCTTTGATAAACCCGTCTTTAGAGTTCCATAGCAGTCGATCAGCTTTTGTTGGGGGTTCATTTTTCTTTATGGTATGCTTACGTTATATATGTATGTATTATGCATTGCTCATACTCGTCAATTGCAGCTTTTAATATCTTTTGGAAAAAAATCAATATGAGAATCCAGAAAATGATTCTTAGTGACGCTAAAACTATTATTACTAGGCACTGTCATGCCACAGTGTTAAAAAAAAATCTCATTGTTTAAAGGTAGATTCTATGCTCATATCCTAGTCTAAAATTAAAAGCTGCGAGTCAAAATTAAGGGGGTTGCTCTTAGAAAGCCTCAATTAGAAGTAGTTATATGAAATGTTATAATCAATACTTATAATCTTACGGATTAAACACTTATTCCCTATTTGATCACGTGTATGGCAAACAGATATTCGTCATTCATAAAGAAAAGAAAGGTGAATCAAAATGAGTTTTCAAGCCCTATTGCATACATTAGCAATACTTATTCTCGTAATAACAGATACGTATGTGTTATTCTCTTCGTAATTTTCAGTATATATATTTATATTTCTAATTAAGAAATCTTTTGAAAGCAGCGTCAAACAGCTGTGAAAATTATATTTTAAAATTATTATTTAGAAATGCGCTTATAATGGTTTTTTTATATTTACGAGAGATACTTCCCGTTTACTCAAGCTCACTGTATTCAAGTCGATAGGACCAATTGAATGGAAAGATCGATTTGTTAATTCATTTCCAAGTTTCAAATCGGATGAATGGAACTCGCGAATAAAATGGCACATTAAAATACGGTCAGTGAACTACAGTGAGCTATGAAAATTTTAACAAAGGTTTCGTACTTATCTTATGAAAACAAATATCAGAATCTAATTAAATGTTTCACTTATTAGAAAAATAGAAAATATAAATATTTGTGAATAAAAAGAAATTATCTTTAAAAAATAAAATTTAAATGGAAAAAAAAATAAAAGAATTACAAAATATTGCAGAAATTACATAAAATAGCGAATAAACTTATCCGGCACAAGCTCGCTAAATGTAAAACAGATGTACAGTCAGAAAGCTCGCCTTGTCACACAAATGTACTGTTCATCGGGTTTAAAAGGTTATTCAGACTAATGTGCGAAGTTCAGTGAGTAACTTGTATTTTCCTTTGAATGTATAAACTAGCCAAAAAACACTTTTTTAAAAAAAATATATCTCCTCTTATGATCCCTGACACAGCCGTTTACTTTCCCCTTCCGTAATTAACGTCAGTCTCTTGCTCTTGACCGCATTTGCCAAGCCACCCCCTAGACGAGATTACTTATCATAGAACAACTAGTAACGTGGCCTTCAGCAGGCAGAATACGTTCTGACTATAACAATCTCAAACCCTCACTTAAATACACTCGAACAAAAATTTTCATTCTGGCAGAAAAACGAAGAGAAAAAGGTGACAGTAAAGATTCGTAATATAAGATAACTGTTAATTGAATACCTTACAGTTTCATAACATAATATTTAATTCTTGCCATATACCAAACTTGGCATAAAATAGTTTACGTGAGAATGATATACTTTCAGAATTTTAAAAATTACACAAGATATGACAATTAAACTGAAATTACATTGACGGTATTTTATATTTATTTAATTTTTTTATTATAAACCATGTTTCATCAAAATATGTAATTGAATTTAAGAATTCTGCTAAGTAATTTATATTATTTCTTTGCGAAGATGTATGTCCGGATATTGTAACAATTGGCAAGCCTATGGGAAATGGCCATCCTGTAGCTGCTGTAGTCACTACACGAGAAATTGCAAGAAGTTTCAAACAGCTCGGAGTCTCTTATTTTAACACGGTGAGCAGAAGAAGTATTTTAAAAAGTTATATATTTAATCTATACTATTAAATAAATCCAAGAAGAAAAGCTCATATTATTTCAACTGATCCTCCACTCAAAAATATGTAGCTTAGAGTGTTAATTTTAAGTAAGAGGTTGTGTGCCTTTTCAGAGACCGAGGTATTTGTCCTAGAAAACTACTATCTTCCCAGGGCGGGGGAAGAAGCTGTTATACAACATCTGGCAAAGTATACAGGGCTTTAAGTGAAATCTAATATTGTGTTTTTTGCTTAATTTTAAATTATACTAGAATTCTGTACCGCTAAATGATTAGTTACTTTATCTGGTGTTTGAAATTCTTAATTTAATCACTCTGTAGACTCTTGTCTGTAGAGAACCCGTTTTGGTAACATACGCTATAAGTAGTAACTCAAGACTCTGAGTAAAACTAAGCGACTTATCGCTATGTCTAGGTAAGCAAACAGAAATGTATGAAGGATGTAAAGGACTCTTTTATTAAGAACTCAAAGAGCGTAATTCAAAAGGTAGAATTTCAAATTAATTAAGTTAAAACTTAAAACAGCCTAGAGGCTACACACAATAATAAAGCGAAAGTTGGCTCAAACCTATACCGGTGTGACAAGCACTGTCGGCAAGAATAAGCAACGCCGAAGACAGACCGTTATGGTAGAATTTCAACTAGTAACGAGGCCTTCAGGCGGAACATACTCTATCTAAGCAATTTAAAACTTCCCTTTAAATTTTCTCTCTTTCTACCTCATGTGCATTCTGGTAGGACAGTAAAGACATTAAAGCGGACACGAGGAGCGAGAGTAAAGATACAAAACATAAAATAACTGGTTAGTGAAGTCCTTAGTAGTGGCCAAAGCTTAAAATGGCTAGTGCACAGAAAACAAAAACCAAAACAAAAAACTGGGACGTTTCTAAAAAGTACATAACATAGTTTACATAAAGGTTCTGCATTTCGCATTACAATATAATTTAAATGTGTTCAAAATGTAAATGGAAATCTAACAGCATTAAAAAAAAATAATTTCATTTAGCACTCATTCATTTGCTGACAAGCTGTTGAGTAGAAAACAAAATATTCGAAACAGTTTCAGGAATATTTCGAACACGATATAAACTCTTCTATAGAGAAAAGAAAGCGAAACGAATAACTGGCATGTTTCGCTAGGAACATTCAGTTCCCTTACTCTGAAATGCCTTTCCCATAAGCAAAAATGTTTGGAGATACTTCTTATTTCAAAATTTTCACTAAAAACAATCATCACAAATTTAATTTTATGGAAAATTTTTGATTTTAAGCGATCGGAAAATTTTGTGCTTTCCTTTCTAATTATCATCGACTGATAATTCAAATCTTTGTAACTGTCGAAGGTTTTGCCTTAAAATAGCCTTTTCCCCTATAACTATTAAGTATTTTATTAACGTGAATTACTTAAACTAATGCTCTCTAATTATTACTATGCAATTCTATTTTTTGCACTTTTTATTAGCAATAATTTACGTAATTGAATTCATCTGTCTAGATTATAATTATTTTCGTTTGATTCTTAAAAATTATGATCATATCATTATTTAATTGTTGCATTTAATTACAATTATTTATAGTGTGGTTATGTTATTTATAGTATGGTGGCAACCCGGTGTCTATGGCGATTGCAAATGCAGTTCTTGACGTGATTGAAAATGAGGACCTGATGTCCAAAGCAAAAACTGTTGGACAAAAGCTTCTTAATGATCTTCTGGAACTCAAAAAGAGGCATCCACTCATAGGCGATGTCAGGTTAGTATCACTTGAGATTCATAATAAGAGTAATAAGGGGTGTGGAACAAAAGATTTCGTAACGAGAGAACATTGTTGCTAGAACTAGTTTAAAAAATTCTAAAAAATTCTTTACCACATAAAAAAGAAAAAGAAAAAAAAAAAATCATCTTAAAATACTTTGGTGGAGCTTTAATGTTTTAATTCATGATTCAACTATGCTAAACCGCTAACATATTAATTCTCTATTAAATAAAATCTTGTTATTACACTGGACTACCTGCAAAAGCTCATTTTCAGGTAACTCATTGGAGTATTTTAAAGAACAGTGAATGAGAATTTCATAAATTTTAAATTCCTTAAAATAGTAGGACAGCAGGCATTTGAAGGCAGGGTATTAAAAGAAGTATATGGGATAATTGAAGCTCATTGCATTGTATAGTTATGAAAAGTTTAAAAGAACTTCGCTTAATCGAAATCTAGCTTAAATAAGCAGTAGTAGAGGAAATTAACTCTGAGTCTCTTTAAAACCCAATCATTAGCCCAAATAGACGTTGGCCCGAATGGGGTTTTGCGTCGTCCACTATAAACGTCTGTATCACTTTTTAAATTGTTGCCACCAACAATTTAAAAAATCTCTCTGTTAAAACCTGAACATTGATATGATAAACTGAGAAAGACTGAAAAAATAAAAAAATACATGCCAGCATAAACATATGCTGATATGCTGCTGTTAAAATTTTTGTGAGTTTGTGGTTGAGTTGTATGTGGCGTAAGTGTGAAGAAAATGGTGCTTAATAACAAAGGCAGAAAGCAGAAATGGGTTAGCGAAAGTGAATACAAGAAGAGACTGGTAGACTGTGAGCTCAGCGAACGTGTAAAAAACCTTAACAAACGCTTTTCGGCGCCCGTTAAAATCTGAACCGTTTCAGATTTTTTTTTTTTAATTTTTATTTCCGATAATTTTTTTAAACTTCCTATTTAATAGGAGTATATACTTATTTAGTAATAAAAACAAACTCTCTTATTATGTTTTCTGTAAAATAATAAACTCTAAGAACTATGTTCAGATTTTAATGGGTAGATAATTTTCATGTATATTGCTCTTCAAATGGTGGCGTGGTGATAGCTGCTCATAGACGATGCAAAAAGGAAGAACCTCAAAAGAAAAATCACTCACTGTTTTAAACAATATATTGGGTTGGCAACTAAGTAATTGCGGATTTTTTTTAGAAAATCAAAGACTAGTAAATTTTTTCATGGAACTAAATAACTTTATTCTGTAATGTATTGCCCATTTTGATCAATGACCTTTTGCCATCTTTCAGGCAGCATCATAATCCCACGTTCATTAAACTTCTGGTTTTTATTAGCAAAAAACTGAATCAGGTACGATTTGACATCATCATCATTATTGAACTTTTTACCATTCAAGGAGTTTAGTAAAAATTGAAACAAAAAGTAATCAGATGGTGCAAGATCAGGACTATATGTTGGATGTGACAAAACTTCCCAACCAAGCTCCAATAAGTTTTGCCGAGTGACCAAAGATGTGTGTGGCTTTGCATTGTCATGATGGAATACAACACCTTTTCGATTTGTCAATTCGGGGCCGCTTTTCTTTCAACTGCATTGTTTAATTTCATTAGTTGTTCAATGTAGACATCAGAATTGATCGTTCGGTTGGGGTGGTAAGAGTTCAAAGTAACAATTCCTTGTAATCCACCAAACTGATAGATAACAAAACCTTCTTTGATGAATATCAGCTTTTGATGTTGTTTGAGTTGATTCACCTGGCCTGCTCCACGATCTTTTTCCGCTTGATATTGTTGTAAACAACCCATTTTTCATCGCCAAATTATCAGTCGTTTTAAAAATGGATCATTTTCATTACGTTTCTTTAGTTCTTTCTTTAGGGATCATTTTCATTACGCAAATGGCAGCTGTTAATGCGTTGCGTTAAATGCGTTTTTTTCTGTTCGTGAGGAACCCATGTATCGAGTTTTTGAACAGAGCCAAGTAGTTTTAACTGATTTTCAATGCATGTATGTGATACATGAAGCTTCTCTGCACTCTCAGGTGTTGTACTGTGACGATCCGAATCAATTATTGCTTTGATTAGGTCGTCATCAACTTCAACTGGACGACCAGAGCGTTTTCATCTTTGAGTGAAAAATCACCAGAACAAAATTGGCAAACCAATTTTGACACTGCCATTCTTTAAGGCTTCCCCCCATAAACAGCACATCCTTTTTATGAGCTTGCGATGCGTTTTCCCTTTGCGGAAATAAAAAGCAAAATATGACGAAAATGTTCCTTTTGATTTTCCATTTTTCAACGAACGCCAAACGAAAACTACGCAACCGATCAAAAAACTTTTTTTACTGATTGACAGCCGAATTGCCAGCTATCAAATAAAAAATGTGTTTTACATTAGAACCCTAAAAATTCAACCGAAGCCATCTATGAGTGAAATCCGCAATTACTTATTTGCCAACCCAATAGATTGGTAAATATATAACAATGCATAACTTTTGCTTAGAAATGTTATACTTATTTATTTATATCTCTGAGGGCAAAAAATAGTCGCAGGAATTATCTGAAAGGAGTCCGTGCTTTTTCCTAAATAAAGCTATGTTGAACAACAAAGGTGCCATTTACAGATTATGATTCGTAACTGTATTCAAGTCTACCAGTAGCCTGTATATGATCGACGACTCAACTACAGAAGTACGAATTAAATGTATTTCTCTATTTTCTGAAAATTTCAAGTTGTATATTCAAGGTGTTGCGCAAATCAAATTCAATAGAATTTATTAACAGCTCTGCGATTCATTACAATGTTGATTATCAAATCGTATTAAATTTTATTACTGTTTCTGAATAACGGTATATCAAAGAACACATTAAGGAAAACAGAAACCTAAATGAAATTCGTCAAATTCTAATTCAACAATCAGCGTTTGAGGTATTTCATTCAATGTAAATTGGACGGATATTATAATTTCTTTTGCCGCTGATTGAAGATTTAAAAATATTAATGCTTTGCTACTTTATACAGTGTTAAACCATTTGAAAATGTTCTGTTTGTTATCTCTAATATTTATTAGAGTGTTTCAAATTTTAGAGGTGTTGGCTTATTCATCGGAATTGATCTGGTAAAAGACAGAATTACAAAAGAACCTGCCACAGAAGAAGCAGCATATATCATATCAAGGTAAATATTATACTTTCGATTATTATAATTTAAGTTTTATAGTAGATTTTTCACACTAATTCGTAACTAATTTTATCCATGAAGTATTTTAAGTGTGATGCACAAAAATATTGTTATTCAAATATTTTAATGCTACTAATTTCCATGAATAAAGTTACGTATAAATAAATAAGACGTATTTAGTATTTTAATGATGAATATCACATAATATAGATTCCATCAGTGACCTATTTTATTATTATCATGTGACATTTACTCGGATATCGAGTTGCATGTATTAGCAAACTGTGCTATGACAGAACCACAGAAATTGATATGTAAATAATCACATGACAGGAAAAAAAATCTTAAAAATAACTATCTAGAAAAAAAAAATGGAAGAAAAGAAGGATAAAGTAACTTAAATCCGTAACTCATTTTATAACCTACATCAATGAAATAAAAGATGAGACAAACTAAAACGGTAGTTACAATGTATCAAAAGAAATACTACAAAATGCAATAAAAATACTCCTCTTTTATAACTTTTTTTTTCTGTATTATTGCCTAGCTGTTAAGGAATTATTTTTGAAAGGTATTAGATTTGAATATTTTAATTCATATGTATACAAATAGTAAACCCTCACTAAGATGATTGCTAGACCTAGATGTTTTTGGTCTGGTGGGAAGACAGATGATACTCAATCATTCTTAGAAAGGTGATATTCAGTAGCGATGTTTACCATGCCGGCGGCTGAGAGGTAAAATCCGCTGAACACTGCGGTAGTTCGGTTCGGGGTTCGAGTCCCGGCGAACGGGCTGGCTACATGGGCGTTTTCGTGGTTTTGTCCATGTGTAACGTGGATACGAGTCAGTTTCCCTTATAAAGACCACCACGGGCATTCCCTTCCTTTCCGTGTAGTGCCTAAAGGGGAGCACGTAATAAGTAAAAAATAATGATATTTGTTTATATTCCCCAAAATAATAGTTACTTTCAGAAGTGGTTGTTTTAGAGGAGCAGTCTCTTCGTAAGGTTTACTTCAGGTCGACAGATAATCAACTAAATGTAATTAAGCACAGTGAAACTGTAGATTTCATTTGTTTAAAAATTTATAAACTTTATTATATGTTCAGATGAAGCAGACTATGAAATAATGTTAAAAGTTTAATGCAGACACAATCCCAAGGAATGGTTAGCTGGATGAGTGCTTTCGTGGTAGCCCATACCTAACGAAAATACAAGCCCGTTTAACCTTGAAAGTCCTCTACAAAGGCATCTCCTCTTAAGCAGATAGCTCTTGTGTGTTTTTCCAAACTCAAATCCAAATTCAATACAAAAATTTCAAAATGGATTTAGAGTTTAAAAATAATCTTCTTGTCTTCAATGGTAAGTAAAAAAGAGGATTAGAATTAATTATCTAATTGTGGTAAAGCATATTAGGCATATGTGATCGAAAGGGTGCTATCTCTTCGCGAAATTCTTCTAAGGGAAATTTCGGTATGCATAGAAAAAACTATAAATCGTTGTAAGTGAGCCCCGCTAAGAATTGCTAGGGTTTAGTAGCTCTGACCGATTATTCACCAGTAGACCAGTAAGAATTTCAGTATCTTCTCCCCTGATCAAAATCAATCTTGTATACAAATCGAAATCAATTACCGATCAAAATCAATCTCGAAACATGCCCATACTTAATTTCATGTTCAAATTAAAATATATATGGAATCTTTTGTAAATCGGTGTTACGTATTTTTATTTGTTGTATCAATTTGTATCTTATAGTTTTATAACTTTTCAATTTATATTTAATTATCTTGGTAATTGAAATAAAAGCTTATATCGAGAGGTAGTGTCAATTTTTTTTTAAACATTTGTTTTTCTACTCCATATTATTTATATAGATAAAAACAACAGAATTTGCATTAAAATTGCGTAATTTTTCCTCCGCAGAATGAAGGAAGAGAGAATTTTGTTAAGCGCAGAAGGAAAGCACAACAACGTCCTCAAATACAAACCACCCATGGTCTTTGATGAACAAAACGCTGAAACCTTGATCGAGCGATTAGATACAGTTTTGTCGGAAGTTGAAGAACAGAAAAGAATGGCAGGATACGAGTCTCCGCTTTCAGATGCTTCAAACGAGGCTTCCAGCTCGGATGATGAAATGGCATCTGCATCATCTAGTTGAAATTTCAGTGGAGATTGAACTTTTAACCAATAACATAATTCTTGAAATCTGCACTTATGTCTGAACACACTTTTATTCCAATTTCACAATATTTAAGGAATTTCACCATGTGTGTAAATTTTCACAGTGTGTGTGAAATTAAGATGTATTTTTCAATAATTATAAAAAGTGAAAAAAAAATTTTAGATTTTAAACGCGTTTCGAATGTCGCTCAGGTAGCTCTGCTTTCTTATTTAATATCAAGTTAATTGGATACTTTTTCACTTTCGTATTAAGTTTGAATATTAACGAATAAGTTTAAATTTGATTACCGATCGACTCGAATGTAAAACTGTCGGACATGTAAGATGATTGTGATTATGAAGGAAACAAAGGTTTTGATATATTATGATCTGATATATATGAACATGCTATGGTAGAGGCACTCTGCTGAAAGAGGATTAAATTCATAAAATGCGTTGTTTGAAATAAAATGAAATAAATATGTTTCTTTTTAACGTAAAACTCAATGGATGACCGATAAATTATCTTAACGTATTTTTAAAAATATTATGCCCCCCCCCATTTGAGATGGATGAAGTTTTCAGAATGGCATTTTAATGGGGAAAAGGTTGTCTGTTACTCAGACCATTACGATAATTCATTTTATTAACATTTGAAATAATGTTTAAATGCTAATTTATGTTGGCAATATTTCATTAATTATTACAGAAGTAAACTGAATGAGATATTTCGGTAGTTCCATAAGTATTCTCAGAATAATTTTTGGTATTATTTTATAGATATTTATTATTGCTAGTGGAATTTAAAAAAAAAAAAAACTTTTTAATAATGGAATATTTTAACAACGAAATCAGCTCATGATATGAATATTAAGTGCTTTATATGCCTTAAAGAAATATATAACTGTAGATACATACATATATATATATATACACACCTATTTTGAGAAGTATATATATTTGTACCCGTCAACAGAAGATAGAATGAGCTTTTCATTTTGCTTTAATGCGCAACAGTGAGACAGGTTATCATAAATAATATCGAGAACATTATGATCAGTTTACGTATGCAGCAAGTGTAAGTTTAGCATACATTTCTTTTAATATTTTATTGCATTTTCGAGATTAGCTCGACTTATATTTGGAATTGTTTGTTAAACTTGTTTTATTTGCAGAGAAAGTTATTTTTAAAGATGTACATTTGTAGATACTTCATTTTTCACTGTAAATATAACACTTTAAGGTATGAATGGTTGTTTGAAAGGATGGTACAACACGTGTTCTGTATTTTATACAAAATAAAAAATATACATTTTTACCTTTTGTGTTAGTTCTTTTTTCTATCCAGAATATATTCACTTCTTTTTTCTCTTGAACAAACGTATATGGCAGAAAGAAAAAAATGACAGAGCTTTTATGTTTTTATAATATATTATTTTAGAAGCTAACTTTACATGTTAACTTACATGATCTAACTTACATACATAAAATTTCTATTCTACTTGCAGTATTTACTGAACATGCTAGGAATTAATTCGAACTTCATAAAAGTTTGAAATAAAATTAAGATCAGCATAATTGAAACTGCAATCAATTACTGTCGATAATCAGTAGTAAGATAAATTGAAAAAAGCTGTAAAATTTTAAGTTTTACTATAATTTCGAAATTCTTTAACAATCTTGAAGCGTACAACTTTTTTCAACTGCTTAATGGACTGTTGATTCATTAATGCGTCTTCTCAGATCACACTACAATGAATACGTAGAATACATAATTCAAAACTTAAGAGCAAGATAAGAACTAACTACCCTAACTAAAACTCAGAGGAAGGAGAAAGAAGGCTTTAATATTTACTTAGATTTTTACAGTATTTGTTTACACTTCCAAAATTCAGTTCATTTTCTCCATTTCCCTTGAAGTAAATTGAGACGGGATTGTGTTTTCTGTTTCCTCTTGAGACTAAAGGTAGGCAGACCTTTAAAATAAAATGTTTAATACACACAGTGCTTTATTTAAACTATAAAATTGTTTCAAAATCTACAATAAGTATAAAAGCTAGAGTTTGAGTGGCATATAGGCTCCAGCTTGCGAATTTAAAAATCGCGCTTTTCAAAAATTTTTTATTTTCATTTTCTTTACGCATTACGAGAGAATTTTTCTGGGCGACCAAGCATTAAAATTGTACTTTAAAAACAAGTCTGTTTCATATATTTTGGGGAATTTTATTTTAAAAATTTAAGTTATCTAAGCGTAATTTTCATTTGCAAGATTTACAGTTTTTTTTTTTTTTTTTTTTTTTTTTTTTTTTAAATATGATAACTTAAAGTTGAAAGTATTTATTTAAAAATTATCATTCTCTGGTTACATTATCAAAAACATACATACAGGAAAATCAAAAATATTTAAAATAAAATCGATAAGTTAGAAAATAGTATTAAATTATTAAATCAGCTAACAAGAATTTTCAGTTTTTAACTTATCCTTGCTGTAACTTATACTTGTATCCTTGCTACTTCCTCATATCAAGCAGCCTCATATTAAGACTTACGCTTTATCATGTGCACTATCTAAGATAATTTTACTCTGAAAGGCAATAAGTGCTACTGATTTCTTTAAACTCATTTTTCAACCTATTCCATTACCTTCGGTAGCTACAGGTTTTATTAACTGCCCACTCCTGATTTCCAGAGCTGAGACTTAAATTTGTAGATTAGAATTCATTATTTTCGTTACTTCTAATTTGCAATAATCGAAAAGCAATCTTGCTAACTTTCTTATTTTCAGCAAAAATATAGAGGTACTCGCTAATGTCCTAGTCGTAGATTTTCATGAGTAAAGGAGCCGCAAGTCTCTGCAGCAAATGCACAGTTCATCTTGTAGGATAAATGAAAAGTAAAAAATTGTTTTAATTTCTTACGGTCTTATTTGCTACATATATAGTAAACCAATGGTTCCTTTCGTGACAAATGGATGTGGGGACTGAAAATGTTCCCCTAGACCAGGGGTGCACAACTCAAATTTGTGAAGGGCCATTTAAGAAATATTGTATTTGCATTTAACGCAAGATGCAATTAATTAAATAACTCCATTTCAGCTCATCTCGGTTCACTTATGACTCTTTGTCAGGTAAAGAATCTTTTTTTTTTTTTAAATCGCATATCCGGATATGTAGAATCACACAACAATTCAACTTTTGCAAAAACCGCAAAATTTTGCTACAATTACAAAACTGAATTACGAAAGTATTGTAAAATAAAAAAAATAGCTTTTGTTAACACAAGTGAAACTGGAGAAATTTTGTAACAGCATTAACAATATTTTTTTCCTTGCAACAAAACCGAATTTTTTTTCTTCAAATAAAAATGTTGTTTAAAACAACCAAAAATTACTCCAAACATGTCCAGGCAGGCCGCATGTGACTCGCGGCCCGTATGTTGTGCAACCCTGTCCTAGACAAACTTGGCTCCGCATTACGAAAAATACAAAACTTTCCTGCAGAAATTTATTATTAAGATAAATCCACAGTTCGTTAATATAGTTGGCTAATTGATTATATTTAGACATATAACTCAGTCTTCACAAACCAAGTAAAGCTGAACTGCAAATACGATGTAAACTCTTGGTCAATCTTAGCTGTTTTACAAATTTATAAAGTTTTCAACTTCATCTCTCGAAACTAGTGAATTTTAAATTTTTATTGCGTGGCTTTCATTATTTTATAGCTGTGCAATATTCGATAATGCTAATACTCAAATAATTTATTTGGAATATAGATTGTTACGAATTTTTAATGTACGAAATTTGAAATGTTACGAATTTGAAAACGGGTTGAAAAAATAGGGTTACGTTACAGGGGTAAGTCCATTTAACATTGACGTAAATGGCTAAATTTGGTGAAACAGCGCCAAGTTGACATAAGTTTTGGCGATTACTGTTCCGCCAGATTTGGCGAAACGCGGTTAAAAGTCGCCAAGCTTGGCGATCATTTCGCGACATTTTGGACGGATCGCTGTGTACCTAACTGATCGGATCCTTATGCCACTAAGTGCATCCACTCGTATGTAACTTTAATTATGTATTCCTTCCAGCAATGTCGAGAAATTGAAAGTACTAAAAATTTCTTGGCGGAGGAGGAAATCTATACGAGACGGGAGAGAACATCAGTTTTCAATTTAGCTCAGAGTATTGAAAGATCACTGTGCGAGTTTACTCATTTGAGGCTCTTTGCATGGCCTTGCGTTCAACGTTCTTAGAAGCTTAAAGTAGTAACTACTGATTGTATTCTGTCATTCTGAGATGAGCTGTACGAGTACTTTTGTGTAAAAAATTCCAGACCTGAAAACCTTTGGGGGAAGATGAAATAAATTTTGTCAAGCTATCATCGGTTCTGTGTGCATTTAATCCACAACGAACCGTGTGCGTGCAACAATATAATGCAACCCCCACACAGTAATTATTTTGAAACTTGGTGTTAAGCAGCTTGACCTTTAAAGAAACTCAAGATACAGCCCTGAAGGAAGACAAGCCGAGACGCATTCAGAGTTGTATATACAAACTTTAATGACGCCATATGGAAGTCAGCTCGTATTTAAAAATGACCACAAAAGTCTTATACAAACATTATTCAATAGATTTTTTTAATGGCAGATTGTGAACAGTTACAGTGTAACACATTCCATTAATCTATTTTACAAGGCCAGATGTAGTGGTCTCTTTATTATGGAGGCAACTAATAGGTGGGCCACTATTGCCTCCTATGAAGGGACGGACAATTACAACCATGCCTTCTCCGGGATTCGAAATCAGGCTCTTCGGTATCGCAGTCAGGCTTTCCTAACAACTATACCGTCTGGGCAGCCTAACATCATTTAATAGGTGCAGCACAAATATTAAATATACAGATCTAAGTTAATTTTAGAATGCAACTATCGTTTTAATCACATACGGAACTAATCTGAATTATCACACTGCAGATGCAAATCATAACATAACAAAATTTTACACATTATTTTTTTTTTTTTATAAAAGAAGGAAACAACTCTGGATGAGTTTCCTTCTTTTCCAAATAAAATATTGTACATGACTTTTTTATTATTTGTAAGAATTTTATATAGATTCCATTAAAATAGCGTTCTTTTGTGTGTGGGGGGGGATTCGAGATGGAAGGAATATGTTCTCTGTTTTTTAAGACAAATACTTGGCAGCTCAAGAAATATTCCATGAAATTCAAATTACAGATCAAGAACTAATCCATGAAATACATGAAGTGATACATGACATGATACTTCAAGAACTATTTCATCAAACTCAAAACTTAGCGCAAAGGGCAATTTTCCATATTACTGAATATTATTTGCTACTTGTCACATAAAGAACAATAGCAAATGAAATTATTTTTAGCACTTACGGCTAAAAAAGTTTAACTGTGTTAGCACTGGTTAAGTTAGCATTTGTTAATTTTAAGCTGAGCATCATGGAAGACGCTGTGAGGAAGTTAACTTGGTGGCTGCATTTTTCCTGCTCTCCTGATTTTCATATACTTTCACGTTGATTAGCTTTTGTATGCTTAGTTTAAGCCGGCTAGTATGAGTCTTTTACCTATTAATTGATAAATTTAAGTTTTTGTCAGTAATATCCTCTCTTGGATTTTATTGCTAAAATTTATGAAACTTCAAAAATAGGTACGCTAAATTACGCAGGCGGCTAAAGTCACGAGAGGCCGGATTTTCGCCATACCAAGACTAAGTATTTTAAATTCATTTTAAGTACTTGTCATATGTAAGTACTTAGTGAATATGAAATAAAAATTTTGTTAATAACTGAGCTTTTTTTTTTTTTTTTTTTTTTTTTTTTTTTTTTTGGGAGAGGCAATCCTAGGAAAGTATGCGGACAGCCAATGGCCTAAAGGCGGCAATTCTAGGAAAGTACGCAGGCAACCAATGAACTAGGAACGGCCCTGAAAGGCACTGATTTCCTTAAGACGAAAATTTAAACCTTCTTTGATTTGGCCTAATAGCAAATTCGTTCCGTATTTCTTTCTCTTCTCCCCAATCGAATTGACAGGACTTACGCCGTTCATTGAAATCTTGTTTTAACTTTTCTTATGTGTTTTTTACTCCTTAGTTTATATTTTATAATAAATTAAAAGTCATATGAAAGTGAAGCAAATTGAAGGCTTTTTTTTCACTCTCCATAGCATTTTTTAACCGAAAGGAGCGTTATCTCAGAAGGACTATTTATTTCGTTTTGGCATTTTGCGTCGCTTTAATATAATACGCGAGTAACTTTTGAAATTATTGCCACCAACTATTATCACC